GATCTTTCATGCCTGGCTTCCTTCGCTTAGCAAAATGCTTTTTCCCGGCTCAGCCCTGCAGTTGTCTGTTAATTTCTAAGATTAAAACCCTACACAGTAGGTTCCCAGGGCTGGCACTGGGGACTGCAGGGAAGATGGCCTTTGGACATCGCTGCCTCTCGTGGTTGCTAGAGTGAGCTTGCTGGGAAAGCACTTCGTTCTTAGAAGTTCTTCCCCTCGTTGCCTGGCCGTCCACCTTGCTCACATCGTGAAGGTCATGGCTGTCCACCTCCCACCCCATTCACCCCCAATCCTTGGTTTTCAGGGAAGCCCAGTGTCTCACCATTTTCTTCACAGTATTTCCACTGCTGCTTTTCATCAAAACTGGACGTCACTGAGCACCACAGCCTTCCCATCCAGCTGCCTTCTGTTATGCAGGTGTTGCTGGGCTTTCCACGATAGGTGAAAGGGAAGATACATCGCGGGTAATCTGCAAGGAAAGAGACATTATGAGTAATCTGTAGAGAAAGAGGCATCATGGGTAATCGGTAGGGAAAGAGGCATTGTGGGTAACTTGTAGGGAAAGATGCATTGTGGGTAATCTTTAGGGAGAGACGCGTAGTGCGTAACTTGTAGGGAAAGATGCATTGTGGGTAGGGAAACGTGTCTGTGAGGGGTTCAACTTTCTCCAGTCATTCCCAGCATGGAGTCAACTTAATCTGTCCAACAATCATCAAAATACAGGGCCAACATCAAGTGTGGAAGAGACTGGACGTCTTCATGTCGTCACACATCTAGTAACTACTTCATGTACAAGGAGCCCTGTGACACAATGGTGAAGAGCTTAGCCACCAACCAGAAGATCAGTGGTTCAAATCTACCTGGTGGCTCTGCAGGAGAAAAGACCTGGCTGTCGGCTCCTGTAAAGATTACAGCCCAGAGAACCCTGTGGGGCAGTTGGAATTGTCTCCACAGCACTTAACAACAACCACTTCATGTATTCTTACTCGCCCTAGAGCTTTTCCAATATGGCTCCCAATCTCAAACCATGGCGCCTGTGATGG